CATCTTGGTTGCTTCTAAGTGTGTGACTACTTTATCCCGTATGATTCGCTCCATGGTTTTTAATACCACCGAAGTCAAGTTGACGGGTCGGTAATTTGCGCAGTTCTCTCTATTTCCCCCTTTGTAGATTGGGGTAACAGTTGACACCAACCAGTCACTAGAGAGTCGTCCTCCCTCCAGTGATGCATTGAACAGTCGTGCAAGCCGGTGCGCAAGCACGCTCACCAGTGGTTTTAATACCACTGGATGTAGCTGGTCTGGACCCGGGGCCTTAGATATCACCAATCTCTGTAGGTGCTCTTCTACGTTCGTTGGTTCTATGTACACCTCTGGCATGGCCAGCTGCGTGCAAGCTCCAACAGACCTACATGCGGCACCTAAATCCCTTCGATAGATGGCCTGATAGAAGTGGCACATGATGTTGGCCTTCTCAAGGCTGGTTACTGCTGCTACTCCATCGTCGCCCTAACACATCCAACAGTCTCTCTCAGTGCAGTCTGGAAAGTCTGGATGACATCAAGCGACGACGGATTTTGCCCTTCCTTCCAGTGCGTTGGTTGGTGGACGTGTTACACAAAGTTTTTCTAACTGAATTCCTCTAGCAATTGCTCACAGGAAGCTGAGGACCCACTTACCCATCCGGTGGCCCAGTCAATTTCTGGAGTGTTTAAATCTCCTACTAGCAATACGTTCATACCTGTAGAGAAGGACTGTTGCAAGTAGCCAGTGAATATCGTGTTTTCGTCTTCAGTTGCTGAAGGACTACGGTAAGCACATAGGATGAGGACACTCGTGCTACGGGAAGTGATTACAACACAGATAGCCTGGATGCATGAGGAGACAAATATACTCTCCTGAAGCTGTTGGAGGTGCTGTGCTAGTAGCAGTAGGACACCTCCAATTCTGCCGTCTTCTCTGTAGCTCATGTAATCTTGTGGGCAAAGTGGATCTGCGTTCAGTTGGTTATTTAGCCACGTCTCATTGATTGCTATGCAGTCCACGCTTGGTGATTCTTCTTGTAGCTCTTTCCATTTGTTCCCGATGCTGCAAGCGTTGCTGTAGAAGACGGATAGCCCTTTAGCTTGCTGCACCCTCTTACTGTCCCTCTTGCTGTCGATGCATTTGGGTATTATACCCGAGTGTTGCACCCGCTTTTTGGCTGCGTCGGGCGGTTTGCTGCACACGAGTGTTTAGACTCACCCTGACTGTAAGTGGGGTGTAGTCATTGTGCTACTATCTCGTTCCATGGGCTATTCGTTCCCCGGTTCGTGTTGTTTTGTGTGATCGGTGATTGGCTTCATCGACTGAGGCTGATTACAAGGGTTTGCGTTCGGGATAGCGGCGATTTATGTGCAAATGCCCCCGTTGAGCGCGGATTCTTGATACTTGAGTTTAGTTGTGCTAGGCTGTCCGGCTCTATGGTAATGTGCCAATCCGTCATCTGGTTTATCATTACCGCGGCTGCCAGGAACCTGTCTCTGTAGCGAGGGTTGCCGAATTCAACCAGCACAGGGCGGACGTGATTGTCCCTGGGATTGGGGTTTCACTTTCCCAGGCAGCGGTTTTCGTCCCAATCGATTAGGGGTACATTGAAACCACCCAAAATTAAACAGTGGCCGGCCCCAGCCCATTGCCGCATATCGTCCAGGACGGCCACCGGGGCTGTCGCTGGTGGTCTGTAGGAGACTCCTATCGTCGTGTAACCGTTGCAACAAAGTTTGGTTTTGCACCACAGCGCTTCTCCCTGACCATCAGGATCCGCGGAGCTGTAGAGGTGAGTAACGAGTACACTTTCGTGAATAAAACGCATGACGCCCCACCCATCCTTGGTTGAGCACGGTCCGAATGAAATGACGCATACCCCGGGAGCTCGACCTCTGAGTCAAGAACGTCGGGGGTGAGCCAGGTTTCTGTGAGGGCTATGACCACCGGGAAGTGGGCCGCGACAAACGCCTCCAACTCGTCTCGTTCGTTCAAAACACTACGTACATTGGCAGACACTACGCACGCGCGGCTGCGCCTGTCGATGGCACGTCCTTCCAGTTTACGTCGGAGGAGTCTCTCTGTTCGGTATTGCAAGAGGGATCCACCGGAAATGTGGGTGCCTCCTCTGGACCCGGAAATCCCGGATGAAGAGATCTTGTTCACCACTTGCTCGGCGATCATGGATCTCGGCTAATGCCTGCTTCAGCTTCTGCCGTTCGTCCGCGTCGACGTCTCGTAGTAGCCTGACGGACTCCCCTTTCAGGCGGAAGGCACGCTGAAATACAGACTTGGTTTCCTCCATCAATCCAAGGNACGACAAACGCCTCCAACTCGTCTCGTTTGTTCAAAACACTACGTACATTTGCATACACTATGCTCGCGCGACTGCGCCTGTCAATGGCAGCTGACGGCACGTCCCTCCAGTTTACGTCGGAGGAGTCTCTCTGTTTGGTATTGCAAGAGGGCTCCACCGGAAATTTGGGCGCCTCCTCTGGACCCGAAAATCCCGGATAAAGAGATATTTTTCACCACTTGCTCGGCGCTCATGGATCTCGGCTACTGCCTGATTCAGCTTCTGCCGTTCGTCCGCGTAGAGGTCACGTAGTAGCCTGACGGGCTCCCCTTTCAGGCGGAAGGCACGCTGGAATACAGACTTGGTTTCCTCCATCGATCCGAGGACGACTTTCAGCGGACTTGGGGCGCCGCCCTCTCGTTTGGCTCCTAGGATGAAAGTGGCCTTCACTCGTATCGTCTGGGCTTGTGTTTCCTCGCCAGGGACGAAGAGTCTGGCCAGGACTCCTCGAAGCAAGGATATGTCCGCGTTAAGCCGGGCTTGCGCCGAGGGTTCCGNAATCCAAGGACGACTCTCAGTGGACGAGGGGCGCCGCCCTCTCGTTTGGCTCCTAGCCTAAAAGCGGCCCTCACTCGTATCGCCTGGGCTTGTGTTTCCTCGCCAGGGACGAAGAGTCTGGCCAGGACTCCTCGAAACAAGGATATGTCCGCGTTAAGCCGGGCTTGCGCCGAGGGTTCCGTGGACTCCGGCATATTGACCGCCAGGACGCATTGCTGTCTTGAAGGGGTTCCCGCCGCAGGTCTCCTGCAACGGCCGGTCGGGGGACTGGCCTGGGGTTGGGGGGCCCTCGGAATGCCGGCTGGGTCAAAGGGCGTTCGGTGTCGCTGGTCACAGCACTGTTGGGGGCATGCGTGGCAGCAGCTACTCGGGCGTACGATCTGTTGTTGGCGTTGGACAACGAGACTGGTGGCTCCGGCAGTGTCTGAATCGGCGCAGGGGATCCAGGCTCGATCGCTCTAGAGTGTATGGATGCCCCAGAGATCTCTATCTTCCCTCAGGCGGAACATATAACCCATTCAAGAACTGTTAAAGTTCCTAAATATTTTAAACATCTCAATCAGATCTCCTCGTCGTCTGCGCCTTTCGAGGGAGAAGAGGTTTAGTGCTAGCAGCCTTTCGCTGTAGCTCAACAGCTTCATTCCGCCTACCAATCTGGTAACGAACCTTTGGACTTGCTCCAGCCTCCGGATATCCTTTCGGAGAAATGGGACCCACGTTTACATACAGTATTCAAGGTGAGGCCGGATGAAGAGTGCATATATTGGGATGAAGACCTAGGTGTTTCTGTTCGTTATGGCTATTTTAAGACAGAATAATGCTCTACAGGCCTTTGCGGCTGCTGCGTCGCATGCTGCAAATTGGATGAGTTTGAATTCTAAGCCCTAGGTCTGTGGTACTGCTCTTCGATGGTAGGGGTTCCGGACTCCCAAGGGGGTTGGTGATGAAAATTGAAGGACCTGCGATGCCTGGAAGCATGTGGCTCTTCAGCGAGTTGAGCGGTAGCTCCCATTTGGCTGACCATTCACATATTTTGTGGATGTCCGTTTTGATGGTGTCTAGTTGGCTACTGTTACCTACCAACCTAACGCCGCCAGCATAGAGGAAACGGGGATTTTCAATGCCTTCGGTGATCTCATTCACGAAAATGAGAAAGAGAAGAAGCGCCAGTATGCAACCTTTTGGCATTCCACTGGTAAGGGAGCTAGTGTCCGAGTGAGCCTGTCTGACTTTCACGGTGAATGAACGACCAAAGAGGAGGTTTTCTACCCAGTCGCATATGGTCTTGGAGATTCCTGCTTTTCTAAGTTCAAAGCTTAACAGTCCGTGGTTCACGGAGTCGAAGGCTTTTTGGAAATCTAAGTAGCATACTTCGAATTGGATGCCTCTATCCAGTCTGTCCGTGATAATGTCCAGGAAAGCGAGGAGATTCGAGGGGCAGGATTTGCCCTTTAAGACTCCATGCTGTCGTGCTGTCGCTGAAAAAGCCTTTGTTGAAAAGAAAGGAGCATATCTTGTCCCGCAGGATGCGCTCAAACGTTTTAGTTATCATACTAGTTAGGCTAATAGGTCTTTAGTTGGATATACTGGACCTATCTCCGTCTTTAAAAACGGGAATTATGGTTGCTTTCTTCCAGTCTGAAGGTAGGATGCCCGGGGAGAGAGACATATTGAATAGGAAGGCTAGCTCAGGGCTTAGTAAGGAGCTGAGGTGTTTGATGATGGAAGGGTGAACATCATCAGGACCGGAGGATTTGTTTGGGTTGAGGTTAAACAAGGCCCTATCTACGTCATCTGGGGTAATGAAGACCTCAAGTATATCATAGACGTGGTTGTTGGTGGGCTGATATAGGTTACTGTTGATTCTGTGCACGCTCAAGAAGTACGACAGAAAGGCATTCGCGATTTTCTCATCTGTGCTGAGCAGGTTGCCTTGAACTCTTAGTACGTTGCCGATCTCTGTCCTTGTAAAAGAACTCGCTTGTACGTATCCGAAGTAACGTTTTGGATTCAACTTGGCGTCTCTTGCGATGCCAAGTTCGTGTATCTGTCTAGCCTTCCTGGAAATCTTCATCGCTTGGTTTCTCAGGAGTTTGAATCTTCTATATGATTCGAATTTCTTAAGATTGATGTATGTTTTCCAAACTAACCGTTTCCTTTCCAAGTCTTTGTGGATCCTGGGTTTCCACCACGGTTTGTTGCTTCGTGGGTTTCTTGCTCCCAGTAGAACGTGCTTCTCTGTTAGGTGAGTAATGTTCCTAAGCAAGAGAGCCCATCTGTCCTCTTCGTTACAGACGCACGACCAGTCCAATTCCCTTGCGCTGTCAGGCAGTTCTTCTATCTTAACAGCATGGAAACGCTAGGTTCTCAACTTGGGCCTTGGGGATGCCATTTGTCTAAACAAAAGTGTACCGGACAGTGGTCGCTTTTCCCTCGAGGTACCCCCAAGGACACTTCGGTTATCTCTGCCGTATTTCTGGAGAAGATCTGGTCCAGAGTAGAGGGCTTTTGTCCCGGTCTGACTGTTGTAGGTGAGATCACGTGTTGAGTTAGAGACAGGGAGCAGGTTTGCAGCAGCTGTTTGTCGAAGGGATTCCGACTGGCATTGAGGTTTAGCAAACTTAGGTTTGGGACATTAAAATATTCGAGAATAAGCAGTCAATATCCCGTTCGAGAAGCACCTTTTAGCGCTTGAAGACGTTGTAAGTCTTCTGCATTGGTTGCGCATACGCTGCGGTAGATCCCTACCCGTAGAGCTGGCGGGTTGAGATGGAGTATAGACGCTGTTGTCTGGATACGCAGCGTGTTCTCCATGAATTGGGTTGGAGACTTGCGGATCTCTGACGAGCATCAGACATCCCTCGCCGGGAGCTGCGCTTCTGTTCGCTCTGTACGGTTGGAAGCCATTGCTCCAGTCTCCAATTGGAGTACAATCCTGAAGCCAAGTTTCGGTGAGGACACAGGTCGGTGGCGCGGAGTAGGTCGACGATCTCGTCCCTCTTGTTGAGGAGACTGCAGACGTTGAGTTTATGGCGTCCGAGGAGTTCACGCGTCTTTTCGTTGGGGTTAGCTGAGTTCGCACGCTAAACCGGCTCTCATAGTGTTGGGATTGGCCTGGAGAGACTACGAGTTCGATCAGGTCCGTTGTCTGGCACACGGTTGTCTGTACGCAAATAGTCGATTTTTACCTGTAATTGAGGGG